GTTGTTTACTTGCTCCTTTTGTTTTAACAAAGAGGTTCATTCTCTCCAAACACACATGGGCACCTGGCATTTGCCCTCCCGGGACTGGTGGCCCACAGGGGAATGCAGGGCCCTGTTCTGCTTGCTCAGAGTAGGATGCCTTTGTAATGCAAACTGGGAAGGGTTACAGCTCCAACCCGGGATCATTCACAGCCATATAGCTGAGCAAGAAACCGTTCTCAATAGCACACAGCAACACTTTCAACTCCTGTAAATACTCCTCAAAGCCACACAGCATTCTTATGAAGAAACTCTGGCTGGATGGCTTGGGGATACTGTGCTTTCGGGATGATACACATCATTCTACAGCCTCAAAGGTTTTAAAAAAAAAGGCTTCTAATATAACACTGCCATTTAAGAGAAATCAGAACTGAAAAGCAGCTGTCAAACTTTAATTTCCTGGCTAATGAATGACCATGAATCCATTCTTTAATGATTCTTGACCCTAGAAACAAAATGTATTAGCACTTTCAGATTTTGCACAGTAGTGCTAAATGGGGCATGTAATGTACTAATTTAGTGCCTCTTTAGCATAATCACAACCTACATGCACAGCTACATTTCCTTGCCAGGCAGCTTTCACAAGACCTGCAAAGAACTTAGGTAGGATGTTTCACCCTATTATTCATTTAACTGATGCCCGAGAATCAATATATGTGGGGTTTTTTTCCCCTATCCTGTCTTTCTTCACAAAAAAGCATAAAATCATCCATTGATCTTCATGGGGTGATTAAGATGCCAAGAAATCTGTACTTTTCTCTACCTGCAATGAGGCAAGATACCTGGTTTTACTGTGTTTATCTTTTGAATCTAAAAGCCCAGAAAAATGCTGCATTTGGATATAAGTCCTATTTCCCGGAGAAATACAGGGTCAGACTGAATAATGACCAAACACTATATTTTAAAAATAAATCAATAACTAAAATTGATTTTTAAAAATTAATTTCAAAGTGAAATTTTCAAATTTATAATCCTAAAAACATATTTCTAGCAATAGCTTACTCTGGCTGTCCTATTCAGAAAGAAAGCAGTCTGAGAAGTGAAAGCACTCAGCTTGATGTGACTACCAGCTCCCTTTTTATTTGGCTTCCCTTTGGTCACTGTTTGGTTTATGACCACTCTCACAGTAAATATATGTTTCTTCTGTTTAAGTAGGACCTGTGTTTCAGTTTGTGCCATTGCCTGTTGTCCTTTCTCTGGGCATTACTGAGAGGAGCCTGGCTCTGGCATCTTTCCACCCTGCCTGCAGATATTTATGCACATTGATAAATCTCTTTTTCAGGCTGAACAGTTCCAAACTCCCTCTGACCACATAACTTCAAATGAACCAGACAGTGCTCTTGGCCATGAAATAGCAGCTTGGGTGCTTCTTTGTACTGTTCTAGCCTGGGGTTTGCTCTCCTCTCTCCTCTTCTCATTGCAATGGATGAGCCCTTTGGAGGGAACATTTCCAATGCACTTTTAGGGGATGTGGATCCCGATGGAAGCACAAACATCCTGAAGATGTTATTGTAACATCACAACAGGATCCTTGTAACAGTTTGCCTGATCCTACCTGGTTTATACAGATGCATGGGGGTGTCCACAAAGGCTTTGTTACCCATCTTCAAAATGCAGTTAAGCCACTTGTTATTTATTATATTAACATTTACTTGCTCTAAATAATATTGAGGCCACTGCAAGGAGTTCTGCATATCTGTGTGGTCTACAGCAGGCAGAGCACTGTGTGTGCTGTGCTCTACATGGGTTTTGTCATGAAATCAATCCTTCCTAAAGCTCGTTATCCCTCTGCGTGCAGGAGCCCTGCCAGGTCTGGCCTGGCAGTCCCTGCCTGCAGGAGATCAATACAGAGGGACAGAGGGCCACAATGCACAAACAAACACTCCTGGCACTGCAAACAGGCTGGCTGTGCTCACAGCATGAGGTGTGAAGCTGCACACCTCTTTCTGCTCCTTGAGCATCTCGGGGCTGCTGGAGGTGTTCAGTCAATTAGCGTGCCCAATACCTTTCTGAATGTTTTTATTTCCATGTGTAGGCTGCACTTTAAAGAGAAAAACCTGGATCTATGCCACACTCTTTCCAGAAATTCAGGAAAAGGAAATGGGATTGTTAAATAAAATAGCATTGATCTGGGAGTTCCTAAGGGCAGGCTGAGCAGTCTGGCAGTGCTTGCCTCTGCTGTGAGCAGAGCTGCCTGTGCAGAGAGGCTCTGTCTGTGGGGAGCACCATGCAGGGCTGGGGCTGGTCTGGCAGCTGGCAGGGCAAGTGTAAGGGGTGCTCTGAGCTGTGCTTGTGAGAGCCCAGAGAACAGCCCAGATCACTCCATGGCCTTGCATTTCTGCTCTGGGACTTGAGCAACGGGGCAGAGCTTGAGACTGCCTGGGTGAAAAACTTTCTTTTGGTGAGAAACAGAGCCCTGCTGCCCTCTCTGAGAAAACTCTGACTTCCAGGGAGGGTCATGGGTGCTGAAGGCACAGCACTGCCCAGTATGTGATTGATATTCATTCTCAGGGCTGTGTGAGTTGCCCCAGCTGTGGCTGTCCCTCCTTAGCCTGTAATTCCCACAGATATTCACAATGAGGCCTTTGCAGGCAGGTGTGTTTGTGGCCTTTGAAGGAAGCAGTGCAGTTTTTTAGGAGAGATTTCCTGTATGTCATTACTGCCATTCCCAAACAGCAGAAATACAGCATGTAATTGCTACATCTGAAACTCCTGAGCTGCCACATTAACAAGGAGTTAACAGGAACCAGAGGCTGCAATTGTTGCAGCTGTTTTTAATAACACTTATGGAGAAATTGCCTCTTTCCAGAGATAATTCACAAAGAGTAAAATTTCTACTGAGTTGACCAGATAGCAATTTTTTCTTCCATCTCCAGTAACAATTAATGCTTAGACTTGGTTACACAAAAATGCATAGACCGTAAAGAGGGGGGGTTTATTTGTGATAGATGAAAAAAAATAGTATTAAAACAATAATTAACTAGTGCTGCCTTGTGATGTGCACAAAAATTACAGCTGACCATTGCTGTGGACATGGAACCCAACCACTCCTTGCTGATGTCTGTTCTGCTCTGAATGGAGTCAAAGCTCTCTGCTCCAGTTAAGACCCTGTTTTCATATATTAATTTTTAAGGTGATGGCTGTATCATCATATCATCTGCAAGCCTTGAATGCATCTGAGCCTGAGGATTCTGTAGGACACACAGATGCCTGTTCAGCAGGGCTGGGCTTCTGTTAGTGGATGAGTAGGGAACGTAAGCACCCTGCTGTATCTGGGAATGAAGTGGAAGACTGCAGCCTGGCTTCACAGAGCCCAAAACTTTGTGCTTGATCGATGCCCAGAGGGCTCTGCTGTTGCTTGGAAGCTGGTGGGAGGCATGGTGCCCCTCGAGAGGATGGGGGAAAGTTGTGCTACAGGCTGGATTGTCAGATGTGTCTTTTGGGGCCACAGCCTGCAGAGCCCATACTGTGGATCTCTGGGCCAAAACTGTAAGAAAATCACAAGTCACTGTGTCCCTCCTAGCAGCACTTTGCAGCCCTGCAAGTACTTGGTGTGATCCTGTGCCCAAACTGGGGAAATTGCCAGAGCAGACAGTGCTGGAACATGCTGGTGAGTCGTGTTGAGAACAGCGATGTGTGAATTGGCAGCTTTTCCCTGAGCTGGGCAGCGAGGGCTGCACCCTGCTCTCAGCACGGGTGCCTTGGTGCCTCTGCACATGTTAAGCCACCAGCCACGGCAGAGCTGCACTCCTTCTTTTAAAAGAAAAAGCAGATTCCATTGCACCTATATAGTCGGGAAACCCGGATGTGATTTCCACGGACTATTTCAGACTCATCCCTAACTATTTTGGGAGGCATCCTGGGATGTGCTGAGATCCCCTGGCTGCTGCGGCCAGGAGGTGAAAGAGCTGAGTGAGCTGGAGCCACTCCTGCCCTGGGTGGGTGCAAGGCCACCGAGCCCTGCCTGCAGCGAGCCCGGGCTGTTCCCTGGGCACTGCCAGGCTCAGCCCTGTCCCAATAACCACAGCAGCCCAGGGCAGCCCAAAGCAGCCCAGAGCAGCCCAAAGCAGCCCAAAGCAGCCCAGAGCAGCCCAGAGCAGCCCAAAGCAGCCCACAGCAGCCTAAAGCAGCCCAGAGCAGCGCAGGCCGTGGCCCGTCGCGGGTGGCACGGTCCCGCCCGTGGTCCCGGCAGCTCCTCTGCGTTCCTGCGACAACAGAGGGCACCAGCGGCCCTCGCTAGTGCGGCTCTGCTGCCGGACCCGGGGGATGCTCCCGGCTCTGCGGACGCGCGGGGGGAGGGAGCCTGCGAACCAAACCCGCCCCTGGCGTTCGGGGCACGGCTGCTCGCTCCCGGGCCCGGGGGTGCTGCTGGGGGTGCTGAGGATGGGCGGGGAGGTGTGAGGGGACGGGGGTGCAGCGGGGGCTCGCACCCAGGCGGGCACCGTCAGCCTTTGGGAATCCTCACTCTGCGCCTCCCGCCTGGCGGGGCCCGACCCTGTCATCTGCACCCCGAGAGAAATCACTGAAATGCGGAATTTGAGGTTAATCCGCGGTGAAATGGTGCAGGTCAGAGGCTGGGCCCGAGTGTTCCTTGAGCTGCAGCGGTTCAGGCTCGCTGACAGCGGTGTGAGCTCTGCCTCCAGTGCGGCCCGCAGGGACAGCCGTGAGTCAGCTCCAGGCTGGCTGCTGCCAGCAGGGGAAGGAGCCTGGAGCAGCCCGGCTCCTGGTGCATCCTGGCTTCTGCAGTCCCCAGGCAGCCTGAGCTGCTGCGGTGTACGGCCAGCAGCCCCAGAGCTGCTCCGTTCAGGGGTAATCCCTGTACCGGGGGGCAGTGGAGGCACACCCCGCTCCATGCAGTAGGATGGGGCTGCTCCAGCCTGCTCAGCCCCTGGCCCGCACATCCTCCCTCCTCCCGCTCGCCCCCCCTGTTTATCCCTGCCGCAGGCGTGGTCAGACACGGGATGCCCACGGAGGATGCCGAGAAGGTGAAATGTTTGTTACTTTCCTGAAGCACAGCTATCCAAGCAGGTAAGCAGCAGTCACTTTTAGTGATAACCCACTGCTTTTGGTCATTGTGTCACACGACAATCAGGGAGTAGAGCAACAAAATACAAGCACATGTCCTTCTGTTGAACAGCCCCTTTAGCAGAACATCCTGATTCACTGCTGCTGTGAAAATAAAAAGAGGCAGTGATTTTATTCCTGCTTTCTTCCATGCAGCACTGAGACAGAGTTCATCTCTGCTCTGGTTTGTGGGACACTTTCTTTGTTTCATCTTAATTAACATGAGGAAGATGAAGGGAGAAAAAACAATGAAGGGGAAAGAGCCTCAAGCAAAGAAACAACATATCACACAGCATGAAAATGCCATCTAACCTGTGACATTGACTACTTGCAAGAATAAGAGCTCTTGTGCATGTAACCCACAACCAAGAGTTTGTACCAGGGCCTCATCCTCTTCAGTCCTGCAAATTTGAAATGTCTTGCCTATTGCAGCAGGATTATTTCCATGCCAGAAGATCTATTCACACAAGCACAGGACATTGGATGCTCTGTTTATCCACAGCCTAGAAACATGAAGATCCAAAGTTTCTTCCACTGTCAGGGGCATGTGAAAGCTTTGAGCACATGCTACAGAGATAAGTAGAGACATATGCTTCATGCCAGGCCAAGATGTTTTTATAAAGAGTTTCTGGTCTTGTCTGGTAAAATATTTTACAACTTTTCTGCCAGCAGCCAAAAGGCAGTCAAATATTTAAAAGCAGTAATAAAAGTTCCTATGTGAGTCAGAGTACTACAGAAATCCTGCTAGTGAATTTCCCCATGGTAGCCTGCAAGACTAGCAAGAAAAAAAATCCTACAGGACTTTGCTGGTATGAAGTATTTTTTAACAAGCTCTTGGAAGTGGCATGGAATGTCCCTGCAAAGATCCTGAAACCAGATCCCTATGTGAAGCCTAAAAAGCAATTCTGGTATTTTTTTCTTAAATTACTATAGCCTCAAATCCGATTTTACTCCTAGGGAATCACGGGGAGGCCAGCTTCAGTGTGACCTTTAAGTGGCATCTCACTTGGGTATAGAGGAATAGGCACAAGTGTGTATTCCTTAACCTGGAATCCAGCATCCTGGGATGCCCATGCCACAGATGGAGCAATGCACTGCCATGTGCATGGCCTGGGCTCAGCTCTCTGCTCTCCCTTCCTGCCGAGCTCTGCTCTTGTGGCACTAATGAAGTGCCTCTTCTTTCCCTTTCAAAGTCCTCAGGTGATCTCCTCATGCTTGGAAACTGCAATGAGACCCTGGGCTTTTTTGGAAAAGAATATCATTAAGATCCAAGGCCATGAAAGCTTCTCTGCTAATTCTTCCTGCTGCTAAAGCCCTGTCAGTAACCATTGTGCTCCAGTTTGGCTCTGCTGTGGGCAGGGCCAGGCAGGCACAGGTACATCACAGGTGTGTCACAGTTATGTCACAGCTATGTCACAGGTGTGTCACAGCAGCTGACTCTGACCCCAGTTCATGGGCTGGCAAATGCAGACATTCACATTCTCAATCTCTCAGTTGGCAGATGATGCTAACAGAGAGGGGAGTGGCACCTCCCTGCAGGATGTGTGTAGGGGCTACTTGGTCACTGATTTTGTTTTACAAACTGCTTCCACACTGCAGTTCGGGTCTGGTTTGGATGCTCTTCCCTGGAGCATCTAGGAGCTGATCTGGGAGTCCTGCTTGGCCTGAATCCCCCTTATTGCCCTTGGACCTTGCCCCCCCTTTTTTTTTTTTTTTCCTTTTCCAGACAAAAATCTGAGAGCTAACTATGTTTCTGTTGTTATTCCTGTGCTTTTGACACTAAAATGGGAAGAAGAATGTCATTTCCGCACAACAGAGCACCAGGAAATGTTTTACTTCAGCTTGATGCTAACAAGTGAGGCAATTGGTGGGACAGATCAGTCTTTCTTGGAGCTGTTTTGCAGATCCCCCACAGATATGTTATGCCAAGTGTGACAGCATCAGCACAGCACAGGAGACCTCAGCAGAAAGGCTTTGAGCTAAGCAGGACTGGGCTCACACAGGCAGGGGATGTCACCATGCCTGCCAGGCTGCTCAGTCTGTCAGCAGAGATCCTGCCCTGGATGTCCCAGGTCCCTGTCCTGTGCTCTGGCTGTGACCCCTCCTTCTCTCGTACAGGAAAGCCTCCACAACCTGCCTGCTCCCCCTTCCCCAGTCCCACTGCCGGTTGGTGTGAAGGTGTGATCGTCAGAACAGCCTAGGTGCAGGATGAAGGCTGCTGCTCTCTATTTGTGTGTGAGGGCAGCACTTCTCTCTGGGAACAGAACATGGATTTTCTGAGCCTACAGGAAGAGCCTGTGAGCCACAGCATGGGTGGAACAGCCAAGCTCCAGAGGAGCTGGGGAAAAGCTGGGGGTTTATCACCCAGGGCAGGAGGCAGCCTCTCCTTCCTCCTGGGCTTATCCAGGGCAGAGAGCCCAGCTCCCAAAGGCTGCCTGCTGAGCAGCCTTCTTCCCAAGGTGTCTGACCTCCCAAAATGTGCCCTCCAAAATAGCAAGCTGCTTTGAGCACATGGCATAGAGAAGGGACAGTGAAGAAGTGTCTGGTTACCTACCTCCTTCCCTCCTCTCTGGGGAGGGAGGTCTGCCCTCCTGGGTGTCAGGAGAGACAGGAGAGTTTGTCTCTTTCAGGGAGAGTTTGGCAGTCCAGATGTATGACAAGCCTGTTACAACCCATTGCAGATTTGGGTAACATTTGGGGGAAATGCTGTCGCCAGCTGCATGCTTCTCTTGTTGGAAACCCCAGTGTTTTCCTGTGCTCAGCTTGCTGCCCCAATTCAGTACTGGCAGTGGCTGGGGGAGCAGCTGGGTGTGCAGAGCCAGCCCTTCCTGGCAGCACGGGGGTGCCTGCACTCAGCCTGGCTCGGGGTGGCTCCCTCGAGGGTGGCTGCCTGCTCCCAGGGACCACAGCCCTTCAGGGGCAGCGTGGGTTCGCTGCTCATGGGTGTCACAGTCAGCAGAGCAGAATAGGAAAGCACAGCCCTTCCACCCTCAGATCATCACAGGATCTCTTGAGCAATTCAGGGTGGTTATCTCACAATGATAGTGTAGCCCTGGGCTGTCTCTGAGGTCCTTGCTGGTGCAATGGCTGCTGTTGCATCAGAACCAGTCAGAGCAATGGGGTCATGCTTCCCAGACAAGGCAAGTGCTGATCCAAGCTGTAAAGATTGCATCTGTCTGTTTGCATTTTCAGCTGCAGGATGAATGCCAGGGTCCTGGGTTGAGCAGAGGGGATTTAGGCTAAGCAGGACTTCCACATCAGCTCCAAGTTTGTCACCTTCTGCTAAAAATCTGCAATGTGATGGCACGGGTGGCCCCTGCAGTTGCTTCTGGATTCACATGTGTTTCTCCTGGTGAATCATTGAAACATACCCTAGCAGAGGCAGCATGAGGCAAAGCTGGGATTTTAGGCAAGGAAAATAACTGTTTGTTTGTCAGATGCCTTGGGAGAAGCTGAAGTGATCATAAACTGTGGAGCAGCTTGGAATTTTGCAGCACTGAGACACAGCAGGCATCCCTCATGCCAGATCTCACTCTCTTATCCTCAGCATCCAACCTGAGACCACCAGCACGAGCAGCTGGTGGCATGGATGGCTGCACAGTTGTGTTGGTCACCTCTTGCTGTTGGGATTTACAGATGCTGGTGTTTCTTGTACAGTGGGCAATTCATGTTCCACAGCAGCCTGCAGGGTTATGGTGATTCATGGGGAACAGGAAAACCTAGCTTTATCTTCAGGGAGAAAACTGCTGAACTTCAGGTTTCAGAGCCTTTGGTTTGGTCCAATTACAGGTTCAAATCCTGAGGTTCAAACAAGGTCCTTCTCCCTCTGAGACAAATGGAGTGTCATGCCGTAAATCACCAATGATTCTCTTTGTTAGCTGCTGTGTTACTTTGAAAATGGCATCATGACATATTTCAGCTTTCTGCAAAATAAATAACTGCACCATTTATCAAAAAGGTTTGCTTTCAGAAAGGTTGCCACTCTTTTAAGGCATCAGAGATTCCTGGGAATGAAGGAGATAAGAGGAACACAAGATGCCTCTTTTCTATTCTTACTCTATTTTATTTGACATTTCACTTTTTTTGCTTATTTGAAAAAGCCCTGATGAGGAGTGATCCTTGGCTGTGGCATGTCCCAGCAGACTTGGTGGAGTGTGACAATGAGTCTGACTGTGAGGGGCCTGTACTGCCTGACTGGCCCCTGAGGTGATGGGGAGCAAAGGCACCCTTGCTGCCTGCAGCACCCCTGCTGCCTTGCCATTACCCTCACACAGGAGGAGGTCTGAGACTGCTCTTCTCTCCACAGCAGCAAACATCACCCATCAAACCCATCCCCAGGTCTCTTGCAGTGGAAGGCACAGCTCCTGGAGCACCAGCAGAATCCTCTCATCAGGACTGATGGGCAGTGCACAAGCAGCATATTCTGCCTCCCCAGCTGAGCTGGTACATCCAGTGCATGGATGCTTGCTGGAGCATGAGGTTCATGTTCCTTTCTCACAGACCACCCCTGCAGGGCAGCATGCTCAGCTCTGCTGTGTGCAGTGCTTGTGCAACACAGGTGTGCTGACCCAACAAGGCACCTGTCAAATGCAAACACTGTCACAGGCGAATTCCTCCTCAAAACTTCTACAGGGAGAGCTATGCACAAAAAAAAAAAAAAATCCAGCAAGGCAGAGAAACACTTTTGAAACTTTTTATTTATCTTCTTTTAAAGCAATCTCCAGTTTTCAGCTATTTCCACACACTCATTCTTTGTCTAGGACAGGATATAACCCACTGGATGAAACATCAAAAAGCATCCTCTGTATTCAGCATGCTCAACAGTAATTTGTTTTGTAGTGTGTGCAACAGTATCTTGTTTTGTGCTTGAAATAGCAAACATTACTAGTGTCCAGCCAGCACCTCACTAACTTTTAAAAGC